CCCCGCCCCGGGGCTCCAGCCCAGAGCGCCTCTACTCATCGATGTGCAAAGCCGGCCGGAGCGAACCCGTCGACATTCCATTCCGAAGAGAGGCGAGCAACGCGGCGGAAAGGAGACGGGATGGCGGCAGCGGCGGCAGCGACCACCGGGGGCGTGGCGGCGGCAGCGGCGGCCACCGCGGCATGGGCACGGCGACCATGAGGGGCGCATCGCGGGGCCCCCTCGCGGGCCGCGGCGGCATAGCCGTGGCGAGGAGCCGAGAAAGATAGAGAGGGAGAGAGAGAGAGAGTGAGCTCCTTCCCCCGAGCTGCTGAGCTCCCGGGCCAGCCCGGCCCCGACCAACCCGACCGTGCCATTCGCTGACGATGAGCGATGAGCGCCCTTGTGGGCTGATGCTGATCGGCGAGGAGCACCCGGGCAGGGTGCTTCTATAGGCGGCGCCTGCTCGCCCGGGCTACAGTCTCGAGGGGCGGCTCGAGTGGGAGGGGGGGGGGGAGAGGCGAACATAAGCACTCGGCAACTTTGTATACACAGCGCGCCATCGCCTCCTCTCCCCAAAGTAGTAGTATGTGGGTCTGGGGGCCAAGGCCCAGCCGTGCCCGGCCCAGCCCCGCGGCCCACGCCACCTGGGATGTGTATCTGGACCACCCCCAACCCACCGCAACCCTTTCACGGCCGCCACGTCACGCCTCGGTGCTTCTGCAAGCTTTAGAGAGTTTTACAATGCAAATGGCGCCTAATCCCATTTTGTGCTGGTTCGGTGGGGCGTGGCGGGGCGTGGCCAGCGGCAGTGCGCTCAGGGAGGACGCCGACAACGACGGCGCGGGACAGAGAGAGGACGGACGGGCGGACGGGACAGCAGCAGCGGCAGGCTGCCACTCCGCCGGTGGACCGCACAGGGACGACAGAGACAAGGCGGGGCACTGTTCTCTTCTCATTCCTTTCAAAAGCCACAGCCGCAGCAGCAGCCACGCCAGCCGCCTTCAAGCGACGCAATTTATCATAGCCGGTCCGGCGCGCCCATGGCAGGGGGAGCAGCAGGGGGAGGCTATATGGCAAAGGATAAGAGACAACGGCCGCGGGGTGGCGGTGCTCTATCGCTCTATCCATCTCTCTATATCTCGTCTACATCTGGTCGCGCCGCGCCGCTTAGCTTGCAGCGCCGCCGCCGCTCGGGCTTTCACTGCGCGACGGCCGCGCGCGCGGCGCACCTGTCCTTTACAAAATCACACCCTATTCACACAGCCGCGACCCGGCGGCGGCCGCGGCAAGCAAGTCGCCCCATGCACACCACACACGTGTGCGTGTGCATTGACCCGGCCGACCTCCCGACCCGACCCCGGCGGCGGACGGCTCGTCGTGGAGCAAGAGCAGGCTGCGTAGGCGACTAGGCAGGCAAAACAAATCCATTCGAAAATGCAACGGGAGCGGGCGGCATCTGCGCTGCGCTACGCGCGCCTGTCGCATAGGCAACATGTGCACATCCGTGTGTCCGTGCCAAAGGGTTGCATAGCACGCAGGCGTACATGCCGACCCACCATACACGGGTGTATTCGTGGGATTATATTGCCTACCTATCCTGGGGGCAGGGACTAGAGCTGAAGTGGCGGGGCGTGGTCAGGTGGGGCGTGAACCTAGAGGGTAGCGGGGCTCCAGGGTCGGGTCGGGGATTCGAACCCGGGCCCCCCAACTCGGGCCGGCTTGAGCGGCGCGAGGCTTGTTGGCGTGTCCCGGGTCTCGATCAATATGGGCCGGGCCTCGGGCCGGGCCTCGGGCCGGGCACAAGCGGCGCACAGAGGCTGGGTGGGGCTGCCCGGGCCGGGGCTCCAGCCGGGGCTCTAGGGCCCCCCGGGGCGGGCACTGCCGGGTCACGACCGGGCCCACCCCACCACCACCACCCCGCAAACCGCCCCACCTCGGCGGGATAATTTGGCACACATTCAAATTCGCTTTGGGCGCTGCTGCTGACTGCTGGGTCGGGCGGACGGCGCGGTGAAGACCCCTTTGACTGTACATCGAGCTCTGCGAAATCGCATTTTTTGTGGCCGAACAAGACCGGCCGCCACCCGGTCACAAAAAGAGGCGATTTTGCACAGAATTCCGGCACCAACACTCTTGCGGGTAGAGCGAGACCGATGTGCAAGTAAATACACACCAAAGAGCCAGATTTCACTTGTATGATATCTAATCGACATACGTATTGCTCTCGGTATTGCGCTTCTCTGTACTACCCATCATCCTGCTATGCTGCTATCTCCGATGCAAGGAGCTCGGCTCGGCCGGGGCACGAAAGTTGTGGGGCGGGAGGGGGAGGGAGAAAACCAACGGCGGCAGCCGTGTTGAGACCGTACATCCTGCCCCTTTATCGCCCAAGAATTTAAGCCCCCTCTGCTATGGGACTCCTCCGGCCGGCGGGCCCCACCCCTGCCGTTGCCGCCCTGCTGCGCCACGGCCGCGGTGCGGTGCGGCGCCGCGAGGCACAGCTTGGCACCGCGCGGATGGGCCGGGCAGCCGCGAGCTCGCCGCCACCTCGCCTCGCCCTCGCGGTACTCCAAACTACCTCGGCCTGCCTCGGCCTGCCCGGGGGGTTGTTGTTTGTGAGGTCGGCGCCCCCGGCCCCACCGTGCCGCCGCGCGGACGTGCCTGGAACGGGTAACGCCCGCGCGCCTCTAGAGGGTAGCGAGCAGGGCGCGCGAGAGGGGAGGAGGAGGAGGAGGATCTAGTCGCGCACTGCTCGTCAGCGGCGGCGGCGCGGCACTAACCACCACCATGGCGCCACCACCAGGCGCCGTCACCCGTCCATCCGCACCGCAACCACCATATCTGGCCGGGCCGGGCCGCGCGGACAAACCTGCCGTTTCACTCACATGTGCTACATGTACTGTACCGTCCGTCGGGCCGGGCGGCGGCGGACGGCTTGCGACCCGGGCCGGGCGGCGGCGGACGGCTTGCGACCCGGCGGGCGGCGTTTCCGCCATCAACTTGCGCCGTGTGGCAGGAAGCGGCGGCGGTGGGTGGGAAGGGAAGTGACGAAAGAGTTCGTTATTTAGGTGCGGCCGGCCGGCCGGCGGGGCGAGTGACAGCACGGGAGGGCCCCGACCGATATTGAACTCCGGCCCCATCCCCTTCGCCTGTCGTGCACGACAGCGCTCGCGCGCGCGCGCGCGTGTGTGTGTTATTGTACGGATTTAGAGCCCAAAATCAATACGAGCACCGAGGAAGTTTCGGAGGAGCTAACTTGATTGCACCGAGAGAATGACGATGACAAATTTATGGAGACGCCCACGCCACACACGCAAACTTTACAGTTTACACAAAAACTTACAGTTTCCCGAATTGTGGATCGCCTTGATGGCCTTCTTCATTTTCGTCAACCCATCTCGGTCGTAGTCCAGCGTCTGCGAACAAAAACACAAAACAAATAATTAAAATCCAGACGCGTCATTGTTTGTAAGGCAGGCGCAGTCACTAATTAGTAAGGAGAGACCCCACACTGAATGAGGACTAACCAAACACACACACACACACACATTGGCACTGTTGTCGACAAGAATCTCGATGCACATGGAAACGTACCCGACCCGCCGAGTCGAGCCTGTCAGAGTACCGCTGCTAACAGATCGAATAAGCAGAGTAGAGGTGACGGACGAGGGGGAGAAGGGGGCGAGGGGCAGGGCAGCGAGCAAGGGCCAAAGGTGCACGACGACGAGCAAAGAGGAGCGTGAGGCACGAGCCAAGCACGCAAAGGAGGGCATGGCGACGGCGCTTACGTCACGCAGACATGTAACTCGACCGCATCACCCTTCGCACTCCAGCGACGCACGCACACGAATGCGAATGGGGCTGAGCAGCCAAGGGGATCATCCACTTGAGCGGGGATCGTTTGCCACGCCAGCAGCAGGACGTCGACGCCCACGGGGAGGAGTCACTGCCCCTGGCCGTCGGTTCAAGCAGCCGCGCCGGCGCCTCGGCACCGAGGTACTTTTTCTTTCCCATAGCCCTCCTCCTCCGCACCGCCGCCCGCCGCCGCGGCTCCGCGCACCTCAAGGACGCGGGGCGGGGCCGGGCGCGGGGCGCACCGACGCGACATTCCGATCCCCCGGGCCGCCGCGGGCCCGTCCGTAAGGCGCGGAGTGGCGTGGCGTGGCGTGGCGTGGCGTGGCGTGGCGTGGCGTGGCGTGGCGTGGCGTGGCGTGGCGTAGCGTGGCGGGCCCGATAGAGAGAGAGAGAGGAGGACCGTTCAGCACTCGCCGCCGGCCCGTCGTGTCCGCCCGTTCAAATTGTCCATCATTACCGACAAATAGTGGTTCCCTGCGCCCGCGCGCGGACCGGACCCCCGACCGGACCGTTTGGAGACTCACTCGGCGGCGGCCCTTGGTCTTGGTGGCCCCGCCGACGGCACGACTATAGGGGCCCGCGGGCTGCTCACTGCTCCGTGCAGCAGGGTGCAGGACGCTGAGCGCTGCACACCAGCGGCAGCAGCAGCGCCCCACCGTAAAGGCCGTTCCAAGGACGGCATCGCGGCGTGGCGGGGCGTGGCGGGGCGTGGCGCCGCGGAGGTGCAAGTGCAGAGCACAATGGCGGCGAGGGGGGCCGAGCGAGTGGAGGTGGAGGAGAGGGAAAAGGAACGAGCCCATTTACTCTCAGGTCGAGGATACGTTTACCGCACCTCCGCGGTTCAAGCGGCCGCCGCCGGCCCGCGCTTGCTTCGCCTCCGCTGTTCGTTGGAGGTGCTGGTTGCAGCTCGCGCTATCCTCGCCACGTCCGCACCACCAGCCTCGTGTCTCCCAGAGGCTGAAGCAGGCCGCGGTCGATCTCCCTCTTTCCCCGCATGGATTCCGGATTCCGGTGGATGCGCCTCGCGGGATGATAGCCCCGGAGCAGAGCTCAAAAGACCATCCTCGAAGTCAAAGGGATAGTAGTACAGCTCGCGCTTCGCGCATCAACGGCTGAAAGGCAAAACGGCGTCATTTTCGCTTCCGCCACGGCCGCAGGGGGGGACGACGCCGCCGCCGCCGCCGGGCAAGCCTCGCCACCACATCCACCACGGCTATTGAGACGGCAACGGCGAGAGCCTCAATAGCCACGGGCCGATGTCCCCGCAGGGCGTGGAGGGGCCAGGCGGCCCATTCGTCTCAGCGCGCGGCGGCAGCAGCAGCAGCAGGATGCGCGGCCGGAGCCCCGCGGCCTCAGCAGGGGTACTCTACAGGTACTCCACCTGCGCGAGAACCGCGGCCGCCCGGGCCAGCGGCACACTAACGTAGGAGTACGTGCAGCAGCCCGTAGTGGCTGAGCTTTAGTCGTTAGTGTGCCAAAATTCTCAAATGTAAAGGTTAAAGGAATATAGTAATAGTAATGTACAAATGGAAG